TTTAGGTATAACATTTTGTAGCTAATTTTAACTTTTAAATAATTTTTTTCACATTGCATGGAATATGTTACTGTAAGTCAACATGTTAGTGCTGGCCAAGATGTTGTCGCTAATATTTTAACTAGTTTTAGCTTATTAACTTTTTTTAGCTTAAAAACTTTTGTCACATTAGAGTTTAGCTTGGTAAGCACTGTTCTACACCAATGTCTCAGACTTTTCGGATGAGATTTTTGAATTGGTTGAAAGTTTTTACTCCTCTTCAAGTTTTCTGTAGCTTTGCAGGATTATACATTGTTCTGCTGCTTCGGCCTATTAAGTGTCTGCAAGTCTTCTGCAGTTGACTTAAAAATGCTTCTGCAATTTTCACCAAGAACACTCAGTTTACAGCATTTCCACTGTATCTTCACAGGAAATGCAAATATTTATACTTTCTCATTGTTCTTCACTGGATTCTTTTGTTAACCTTTCCATTCCACTGGCTGTTTCACACTGGATGCATATCCTCGTCCCTTTGTAAAAGTATTGTAAGTGCTTTTCTGCAAAATATGTGTTTTAATTAAATATAAAATATAGAGCATCTTTTCTGATTTTGCATAATATAAAAACTTATTTTTATAAAAGTCATGATTAGGTTTTGTACCAAATTCCAGCTTGTTTAGTGCTTACTTAGCTAATGCATGGTTGCAGCTCTCTGCTTCACTCCCCTACTAACATCTTTATCTGATACAAACTCAAAATACTGAAGGTATTTCTAGTTGGAAAGCATAGATCTCGCTCCTCTCTCAATTGCTGTTTATTTTTGTGTTTCTGGCTGCTTGGTGTGTGCGCATCTACCCACCATCATCTGGCAAAATCACCCCTAATTAACAGAAGTTTTCTTTGCATAGTTATTCACAGTGACTTGGAAATTACTGGTTTAGAAATAGTATTTTAATAGTTTAGAAATTGGCCATTGAAATCCATGCTATTCTAAATAATTACCTAGATTTTTATGAATGACTCACATTTTGTGTGTAGACTGATGCATACTGCAGAGGCCAGTGAGAGTGATGAATGGTGGGGGAGGGAGAGCTGGATTGAGGTGTGAGACAGAGTGCAGAACAGCCCAACGGTTGGAGGGAAGAGGGGGTGAAAATGAATCATGTGAAGGCATAAAAATCAAATGCAATCCATAAATGGGAAAAACTTTCTGCTCTGATCTTATCAATCCTTACTGACTTACTTTCGTTTTTTTTTCTGTTTTTGAAGTGGTGCAATTTGCCTTAATACACTGATCCGCAATGTCTTATATACACATACACACACACATACAGAGGCAGCTCCGCCTCCTCTGCAGTGAAGCGCCAGCCAGGGAGGGCAGCAATGGAGGAGCCAGCAGTGCAGCAAGAAAAAATAGAGAAATCACAGGAACAAGGGGAGGATAGAAGAAAGGCAGATTGGAAAAATGAATGCTCTTTCTCGAATTTGCTTAAGCATTCTTGCTTTATATGTTGGACATCTCCTGGAGACACAGACGTCATAGAAATGGATGACCGAGTCCTGGCCAAGGCAGCTGAGATCAGAGTAAGACCGCAGCACCTGCCTCTGGTGTGTGTGCCTGATTGTTTTTTCTCTATCTGTTGGCTTTTTGTGTACCTTATGTGAGCTTTTGTTTTTGGATGACTTTGTTTTAATAATGCTAAGATGACATAGTTCAGATGCATAACAGTATGTACCTACTGCACTTGCAGTTTCATCATTGCATTTCCCACAGTGCTCCCATGTGATGTCATACATTCAGCTCTTAGCAGTAGGATTTAACTACAGGACTTATCTTAATAAATTATTCACCTTACCCTAATAGATGATGGCAGGAATAGATTGCACTCCTCAAAACAGAAAGACCAATAGAAGATATGCAGCATTTTTCTGAAGGCAATTGAGAACCTATGCTTTCTTAAGAAGTACAGGCAGCTCGACGCTTTCTTGTAGACAGCTTCACCGTTTGACCTGTTTGTTAACCAGGGGAACACTAAGGTATTTATTTTCATCCTCCATGTTCACTTCTTCTCCCATGATGGATAAAGGCTGTGGTCTAAAAACTGTTTATCCTGAAATCTACATCATCTCCTTTGTTTCTGACAGGACTCAAAAGTCGGGCATTTACAGAGTTAAAAAAAGAGGTGGTGCTGACCACCTGGTTAAACACATGACCCTCCGGACTCACAAACTGTCAGACAGTCATTGATCCAGGCGATTGTTGAGGCCTCCACCTGTGTTTCTGGAGTTTCTGACAAAGCAAGTCAAGCTGAATTGTGTAAAATGCAGTGCAGGCAGAAATTAAAGAACATGATCCTCACAATGTTCCCTGCTCTTTCCAGATGACCAGGGGATATTGAAGCAGGTGTTTAACTCCAACTTCAGGAAACATCTCACTATTCTGGAGGGGATGGTTCTGTCCACACAGAAGTTTATATAGTCAATCACACACTCAGTTATGACTCTGATGTCATCTCCATGTGGCTGGCAGTGAGTAGTCCAATCAGTTGCTTCAAAACAAGCCTGGAGGACCTCTTCTACGTCCTGTGACCATTTCCCAACAGTCATCTTCCTAATATTGAGAATAAATAATTCTGTGTTTTCCTTCTATCTCTTTTAGCTAGTTGCTAAGTTAAAACTTAAGGGAAATGACATGTTAGGAAATGCAAATGAGAGTTAGGTTTAGAGGAAATGACACACCAGGGAACGCCTTCTTTAGAGCGTAGCTTACATAGCTAACAAAGCAGATCACAAACTGTTCTTGGTTGTCATTTTGTCTTGCTAGCTCCTGAAGGTAGCGTATGAAATGGACCAGCTGTATTTTGGTATTAAATGGAATTCATGAATTCAACTCATTGACTCTTTTTCTACCTCGTGCAAGAAGAACTCAGCATGGAGAACGGATAATTCTCCACACTAACAGATAGCCTTTTAATAAGGGGTTTGTCAGAGTTTGTTGCTCATTACAATGGATGGTAGAGATGGTTTAAACTTCCTCCTTCTCTCTCTCCTTTTTGCTCCTGCTCTGCATCCACGATGCCTCCTTTTCAATTTCTCTGGGATTTCTGGTTTCAGCTGTGGTACTATTTCAGTTTTTCTAAGTGGTACTATTTCAGTTCATCAGCTGCTCCCTGTTGTAAACTACTACACAGTATCCAAACCAGAAGGAACAGTTGTCCAAAAATTAGATTTTTCTCTAAAAAGACAGGAATGAAAATTTGAAAAAGAGAAAAAATCTCATTGAAAGTACAGAGCTACTCCAATGTGCTGCCACCCTGAGAGTTGCAATTATAGAATGAAAGGAGGTTGGGATGTCTGTTTGGCTGGGGACAGGAGAGGATGATAATGAGCTTGTTCCTGAAATGAAAATATTGTAGAATATATTGTGATCTGATCTGGTTTCTGCTTGAAGCTTGTGATCTTCTTAATCCCTGACAACACATTTGTGATATTATTGTACTGCAACTTGCTCTCCAGCTTCTTCTTGTATGGCCCCAGCTTTGAATAATATTGAGTTTTATTTGTTGTTGAATGCTTCTCAATAATTCCCTTTGTCCCTCCTTGGAGGGTCTTTTTTTTCTTGTTTAGCAATTCCTTAAGGTCACTGGCATCTTGTTGGGGTGGTGTTAACCACACAGATATATATATATATAGTCTGCCACATATTCATTCATGTCATTTATGTCCTCACTTTG